TGAGGAAATATGTAGTTCGGGGTTAATTTAGAACTGTACATAATAAAGTTGGGCATCTGTGGAGCAGTGTCGGGGCGAAAAACAAGTTATTTATTGCAATGTTCTAGTCATACTAAAACGCATAAAATGGGGGTGGCTGGATGTGAAATATGTGTACAACACACTTGTGGAGCAAACAAAAGACCAATTAAAAGGTGCGGGAGGCAATATTTGAGTTTCATCATTGATTGAACGTGACCACAATTTGGTCTTTTAACGTTGTACTAGAAGTACGTGATTTGAACTATCGCCACTTTACACATATCTTATTTGAAGGCAAATAAAACCATTGCGACCAAAAAACCTAGCAAATTCGACCAAAAAAAATAAAAATTTTGGGAACTCTCAAACGGCCCGTATTCTGAGAATCACCCATACATCATTAGTGAGCGGCTGTCATTTCCGGGAACCTTACAAGTAATCGTCACTTCGACACTCACAATTTGGATGGGAGAGGGCACTTGTTGGTGTCCCATCACCATGGCAACAACGGGTGCCGGGTTGGCGGGCGGCAAGAATTGATAAATTTGCCACACAGCTTGCGCCACAGGAGCGCGGGCGGTGGGAGCAAAAACTGGGGCCGGCGCAGTTGGGACCCTCACGCATGCCTATGAAATAAACATTACGAGTTAAAAAATCTGCGGAGGACCACACACACACACACACAGTCTCTCTCTCTCTCTCTCTCTCTCTCTCTCTCTCTCACACACACACACCTCATCTGCTGGCTCGTTGGCTGGACCGGGCACCGCGTTTGCCTGAGGCACAACGTCGACGGGCATCGTGTCTACCTCAGGCACAGCGTCGTCCTGGCCTGGTTCTGGGGATGTGGGAGGTAGCGGCGGGGTGCCTACCCCCGCAGGGGTGGAACTCCTGCGTGGTGGGCATAACAGATCATACTCCTGGAAAAGGCGGTCACAAACGGATATTAGTTTCTGTTCAACGCGTGTGCACGCTCAAAACGGTAGGGCGCGTGACGCGCACATGCCCATGCACTCTCACACACGCACACACCGCGGACGTCAGGCACGGCGCCAGGCGCAGCAACTCCGAGCCCCGGACGAGCGTTCGTGTTGTCCAGGGCGTCGACGCGGTGCTCAGCCCGGCCGAGCACGAGGGCCGACAGGCGCAACACGCGACCCTCTGCACGGGCACGACCTGCACCAGGTCCAGGACGAGAGGACGCGACGAACGACTCCTCGAGGAGCACCATCAGGTGCACCAGCTCCGAGCCCCGGCCGCGATCCTCCTTTCCCGCGGCCTCACCGCTGGCTGCCCTCCCCGACGTCGGGCGCGAGCTGCTCCAGGATCACGACGAGAGGGTGGGTGCACTACAGAGGTGAGCATCGGGCGGTCCGCAGTCCCGGCAAGGTGGCCCTCGAGTCCCGGTAAGAACCGGCAAGGTTCCGAAAGCGACGGGCGAGTGAGACGGAGCTACGGCCGGTGCGAGCGTCTCACTCGCACCTGTCGTTTCCGGAACCTTGCCGGTTCTTACCGGGACTGCGGACCGCCCGATGCTCACCTCTGGTGCACTACCCACCAGGACACCGATGTCCTTCGTGACGAATCAGGGCCTCGCCCAGGCCCGCGCCTGTTCAGCTCACCGCTGCTCTCTTCCCACGGTCGCGCCGACGCGTTCCTCCTCCCCCTCCCTCCCCGACCAACACCGACAGGCACAAACGTGTCGCGACGCAGGGAATGACTCAAAATCGTTTCGATCACTATTTTAAGCCAAAATGCATCCATTCATTTGCCGATTGCATCACCTCCTTTCTGCCATCCGTACGCGAACGCTCGAGAGTCGAGAGCGGGAAAGAAACAAAGACATCAGGCCCGTGGCGAGCCGTTATTGCGAGGCCCAAAACGGAAGCCCACCGCGACGCCAAGTGAAATCAGCAAATGAACGGACAAAATTTTATGATTTGAGCATTCACCAAAGCTATGACGCAATCACACAAGAGCACAGACAACAGGTTTTAGGGCGAAGCGCCGCACAAAAGAGGTTAAAGCACACGCGCCACAACACTGTAAAGGGGAGAGTCACCTTTTTTGCCCGAATAGAGCGACGTATGTTTTCATCGCTGTAATCGAGCAATGTTTGCAAAAGTCACTCAAAAATAGTGACATTTGGAACTGAAAACGTCGCAAATGTGTCTCTAAACGAGCGACTTTCCAAAATGTCACTCCCCCAGGAGTCACCAAATTTGATGGAAAATGTCACTCCCCAACTTTCAGTGAAGAAAGGCACACTCGCTCGTACAGAATTCGTACATTCAACAGACAGAAATCATGGGAAACAAGCAGGCGCGCCCTTCCGCCAAACGAAGTTGCCAGCCAAAAGCCCTTCCCCAGGTACCAAGTTGTTTGTTACTATTTATATAATGAAAGTGCTCACAACTGAGTTTAGAGCTGATCCACATTATTACTTTCACGGGTTTAGCCCCAGATAACTCTGAACGGGTTCCGGTTATCAGTAACTCCGATTTATCAGGATCTACTGATGCTGAGAAGGGGCAGAAGGAGCAGAACCAGGCCCTTTGGCTTAAATCAAAGCCCATCGATACTCAACTGAATTGGAGAGAATCGCTTCCCTTCACCTCACGTGCAGGTACTGTTTAGTCAACAATTTACTTTACTTGTTTTGCTTCCTTCCCTGGTTTTGTTTGTCATTATTTTAAACTCTTTTCTAGAATATTGGTAGGTTTTGGGGATGCAACTAATCTCCCAAAAAGTCCTTCCCCAAGTACTGCAGTAAATGTTTTCATTGTGAAAGAGCACACGACTGAGTTAAGAACTGATTCACAACATTGTTAATTTCACAGGTTTGGCCCCTGATAACTCTGAAAGATTTCAAGTTATCAGTAACTCCGATTCATCAGAATATGCTGATGTTAAAAAGGAGAAGAAGAAGCCAAACCATGTCCCTAGGCTTAAATCAATGCTCGTCAACTCTCAACTGAACAAGAGAGAATCGCTCCCCTCCACCTCACATGCAGGTACTGTTTAGCCATCAGGTAATACTTATTAAAATAATTCTCTTTGTTCCCACGTGACAGAAACAGCTGCCAAAGACAACTTTGGAGACTCTTCAGACTGTGAAGACCAGAAGCCTCCAGCTACATGGCGCCCTCCATCCAGACCGTTCGGAAACAAACACCGTGTGGAGCGTATTTGCAGCTGGTTTGTTTTGCTGTGGCAGAAAGACTGTAGCAAATTTGCTGTTAAATCCCTGGTTTATGTTCTCAACAGTCTAAGAAAATTAAATTATCATCATATGGGGGAAGTTGAATTGGATTCCGCACTAGTAAAGTCGTGTTTGATATAGGGTGAGTACATGATTCTCCTTTCAACGTAGTTATGAGTGGTAAATAATGTTGCTTATGTTTTCTTCTTTCCCCCTGTTCATGTGTGAAACCGTGATGTTAACCTCTGTAATTGTAACCTCTGTACGTGTTGCGCAGCCATTTCCGAAGCTTTATCGCCTGTGTGGAGCACTGATGCCTCTCATTAATTGCCAAATTGAAGTAGACGCTGGCTAGTGTGTCATATGTTGATGTTAGTGGACGCAGAGTTCGTATATTTGGACCTCTTACATATGAATCTTGCATGCGTACTATCGAGTAGCCTACTCCAGAATCTGAAAGTACATATCCCACTTCCCTGCTTATCACTGTTTCATTATGATTTTTTTTCTTCTTTTTATCCCGTTTGATTCTCGCTCAGAAAGCACGTGTTTTTCTCTGTGTTTTATTTGAGTTGTAAGGTTGGCAAGTCTGCTCTCGGTCGAGAGCTCCTAAGGCTCCATTAAAAGGGGCTACCCGTTTTCGACTTGCGATGAAAGAGCGTTGTGCATCACGCCTGTCGACACATCTCACTCTAGAAACAGGGAAGGATTTTCGCTACAGTGTTGCTTTGAGTACATTGCGTTAATTAATAGCGCTCTATTGGAGCACCTTTCGCCTCGGCTCGACTTTCTGAGTGACTCTAACAGTCGTGTTTGGGTTATGTTCATCAGCAGGCCGACCGAGAGCAAGTTGCGGGGAAACGTCTCAGTTGGCTGCCTGGCCCCAGCGGGAATTCAAGTTGCGCCAACGATCCAAGCACTATAGCTGCACCGTCTATGAGTTCTACGCCCGAATGCGCCAACGCCATCAGTCATGCTAAGGACGCTGCAGCAACCCCCGACAGCCAACCGATGACTCGTGAATAAGGCCAAAGTAAGCATCCCTTCTTCCCTGTGACCCTCAGTCGTACGTTGTACGTACAGGCGGTTTTCTTTTTTCTTCTCTGGGCCCTTACTGGCATTATCGAGCAGCTGGGTAGCCTTGCTAATTGTATGGGGAACATAGAGGGGGCTGTACTCGCAGGCAGGCTCCAACAAAAAAAGGCACCACTTCCACAGCAGCAGTAGCAGAGGCGGCACAGTGACTTATAGTCGAGCCAGCCAAAGGTCCCGATTTCTGTGGCGGTTGGAGAGCTGCCCTCACTCCTCCGGCTGTACCCCCTCCACAGGCCAGCGGGGGAGCGGGGCGGGTGGTGCGGGCGTTCTCCAACCGCCACAAGAATCGGGACCTTTGGCTGGCTCGACTATAACAGCAGTGGTACGGCCCTTTGCTCCACCGTCAGCCT